GAGTCAGTCAAGTAGCAACTGTAGCAACTGACATTCTCACCCTCGGTGTCCCATGTTCCTTTTTCTCCACATTCTCGTTGATATTTGTTCTTTGCAATCGTTTTTGGAGTAAAGGCCGTTCTCACCAGTGTGAAGTGAGATCTTAGTGAAATGATAGCTCATTTTATTTGCATTTTCCTAAAAAATGACTGATGTTGAGCATTTTTTTATATGTCTGTGGGCTATTTGCATCTTTTCTTTGGGGAAACATCTGTTCATGTAGTTTACCCATTTTTTGATTGAGAAGATTCCTTTCTTAGAGCTAAAAATCAGCATTTAATGTATGGCTTTTTATGTAGCTGTTGCTAACATAAAGATGGAGATATTAGTTTATATATTTTAATAAGTCAATCTGAACAAAAATAGAATATAAATTAGTAATGACTACTATAGTAAAATAATGAATGAAACACTATGAAGGGTTTAACTGATTGTTTTAAGTGGTTAAAATAACTTCAGATGGTTGACATTTGCACTGTGTCTTGAGTGACTAGGTATTTTTGAGGGGAAGTACATGTCACCAAAGATAAAAGCACTGGGAAATTGCATTAAAATCAAAATTGCAATACACAGGGTGAATAGTCCAGTGCTCTTTAAGACATTGGAGAGGTGAAGGTGGTGAGGGAAGTTAGGAAGTGTTAAATAGTTTTCTTTTTAAGACGTACACTAAATGGATATAAAAGAAAAAGAAGAGTGAGTATAACTATGAGCGCATTCTTCCCTAGACCCTGAGTCAGTCTTTTAGAGATGGAGTGTAGGGACTCTTCAGATGTTAATTGAAAACGTGGTCTGCGTTTTCTCCATGACAATCTGTATTTCAGTGAATCTGTATTTCAGTCAGGACTTTGCTCTTTGAGATTAATATATAATGCCCTTGAAAGTCCCCAATTCTTTTAATTTTTTTCTTAAGAAAAAAAGAATCGTCTTTAAAGAGCTACATGATTGTGTTGGAGTCAGCTCATTTTAACAAAGGTCACAGCATTTTTGAGTAGTAAACACAATTACTCAGTCTTTCCAGTATCGAGATGTTTGTCAGTCGTGACTCCATCACTGGAATAAATAACTAAAGCTCAGGGGCATCTGACAGCTGGGACCCGTGAAGCTTGTGAGTGGCTGGGAAAAGGCAGATGTACCCTGTTGTCAATTATGGCCAAGAAGACAATGAAGGCAAAAGGTTCATTTTGCTTAATCACCAAACTATTGTGCAAGTTTACAGCCTGTCTGATCTGGTTTCAATTTAGCCTTAAAAAACTAAATGAGATTTATTTGAGAAGTTGCTGTCAAGAATCAGAGAGTCCTTGCAACTCAGCAGCACCTGGTTTCTATTCCTAGAGTATTTCCTCCTGTGATGATAATATCAGCAATTAACATACTTGTATTTATAAAGCTTTATTCTTCAGGGAGCGCTCCACTCTTGGGAGAGGTCAGCTAATTAATTTCTGCAATGTATCAGATTAGACTGCTGCATGTTTTATGACCTTGAAGATTACAGTGCTTATTAAGTCACTAAATTATTAAATCACGCTTGCAAGGACCATTAACAAACTGATAGAACGTAGGCAAAGAACTCAAACCTTTGGGACGTTCTGAAAAATGTTTCCAGCACTATCCCAGAGCAGGATGCGGGATGCTCAGAGAAGTGTCCACCCAGTTTCAGCAAAGAGGAAAAATGTAAAAGAGGGGCTACGCTATTAACAGAGAAATAATATGCTTCAATATTTTAAGGCGACTCCAATTATGCTAACATGAAGTCATTAGAAATTCCAATGGAACCCTGAAGGTAAGTTCTTAGCAGATTAAAAATCAGGATGGATGAGCAACGTTTTTCTCTGTGGTAGCAAGATCTCTGGGCCCCGATCCACAAAACTTTGGTATGAATGTTGTTCTTTTCATTTATTAGCAATTTTAACATGGGCATGATAATTGGCAACTTGGGATCACGGTTTTCTCAGTTATGTAATGAATATATTAACTGCTGTCAGGCGCACGCTTTCTTATCCTTAATACCCCGCACCTGAATCAACAATCATCATCTTACACTTGATCTGCTGCATCTGACCTCTAGAGATGTCCTCTATTATATTATTGTTCCTCCACTGTCTCTGCCCAACAAGGCTGTTTGAGTAGTCCTTGAAAAAAAAAATCACAATTTAGATTGTAACTCATTCTTTTACGAAAACTCTGCTGGCACTCACTTCTATTTCGAATAAAATAGAAAACTCTTTCCATGACCTAAATAAACCTTGTATCAGCTACCTGGTCCTTACTCACCTCTTTAACTTGATCTTCCTACGGTCCCTGGCCTACAACCATACCGACTGTTTCGACCTTTAACCGACAAGCTTGCTTTACTCCTCGGCCTCTGCTCTTCCCTCCTCTGGGAGTCTCATGCCATTTCTGTGACAGTTCATTTCTGTGTGGCTCACGCTTGCGTGGCAGTCTCAAGTCTCAGTTCTAATAGTATCTATTCAGAGAGATTCTCCCAGACCACTGCCTGGAAAGCAGCACCCCAGCTTCTGTCTCCAGAGTTATAATCATCATGCAGTGACAAATAAGAAATTGCAAATAAGAAACTGTATGTAATGAGAATTATGAAACTGTGATGAGAACTGAGACGCTGAAACCAACCCCAAGGTCAGTCAGAGGAGGGAGGAAGAGTTATTTTGCTCAGTGTGACCCTAATCAGATAGGATAAGGGCCCGCCAGAAGAGCGAAAAAGCATGAGGCCTGCCAGCCTTAGGGAAATGCCCGGGACATGACACATGAAGGTCACACCACATGGGCAAGGGATACTGATACAGACATTTCTTCTTTTGTACTTCCGGGGCACCTGAAAGCTGGGAAAGATGCTTCATTTTTTAATTTTTGTGGATGATAGCTTACTCTTAGAGAATTAAAAACAAATCCCCTTAACAGACAGGGCTTCAAGTCTCTCTCTCTTTTTTTTTCTTTGCCTTTTGGGTCACACCCCACGGTTCTCAGGATTTACTCCTGGCTCATGCACTCAGGAATTACTCCTGGCAGTGCTCAAGGGTCCATATGGGATGCTGGGAATCAAACCTGGGTTGACCGTGAGTGCAAGGCAAACACCCTACCTGCTGTGCTATCGCTCCGGTCCTGCTTTTTCTTTTTCGACTTGGGGTCCTCAGCCCTGTGCTTCTAATATACTCACCATCTTATCCTGAGCGCTCTCTCTGCCTCTGTCTCTGTCTCTGTCTCTGTCTCTGTCTCTGTCTCTGTCTCTGTCTCTGTCTCTCTCTGTTCATTACAATAATCTGAAGCACCTTGGACACAGCAGTGTGCAAAGGTGGAGGGCAGATGCATTGAGTCAGATGCTGTGCACGTGCCCCACGTCTGTGTCTGGGGACGAAAGGAAGCGGGTTAGGACGCGGGAACTGCTGGGTGACAGCTGAGGGGTCCCAGAGATGGGCACGAGTACCTGGTGGCTGACTTGGGGACTAAGGAAGGCGACGACCAGACGGCGGGGAACCGTCGGGGCGGGAGGGCAGCCCGGGAAAGGACACGCACAGAGCGAAGCGGAGACGCCACCTGGTCCTGGTCACTGAAGGTGAGTGGGATGCCCGGGACAGAACCCAGGGGTGGACAGGGGACACGCTGCGCCTGGGACAGACCGAGTGACGTCCTCCAGGGACAAAGGAGAGGACGGACATTTGAGAGGGGGGTGGGGGGACCCAGACCCACACCCAGACCCCCGTACTTAGACCCTACCTTTCCATCTTCTGAGCTTGGTTTGTGAATCTTTCCTACTATTAATTCTCTAGCACCGGCATAGGAAGATGCACTTTCCACTTTTGCTCTAACCACTCGACGAAATAATTACCCCTTTCATTTGAAACGGCTGTAAATTCTTGTGAGGTGCAACATTTTGTCTATATGCTCTCAGAGTGTCTTCCCAGGTTTTAGAGCAATACCGGACACTCTAGCATGTACCAGGTACTAAAGGGTGAAGTACTCCAGGTCTTAGGTGGAGGGGAGAGGGATAAAAATACAATATAAACACAAAAAAATATATAAATACATTTAAATACGGTAACATATATGCACAGTCACACTTTTTTACTCATGCTTTCTTATAAGACAAACTCCTCCTGACTGCTAGGAAATAATAACAGTTGTTACTATTTAAAGATGCCGGCCACAAGTGCTTTTAATGAATTAATTCACTTGCTAATCTGCTGAAGTATTAATTGGCATTAAGAGGAAACTGAGGAACAGGAGGTCCAAATAACAAAGAATCAAAGCGGATACCTGGCATGGATGGATTTAGCCTCAGGGCTCTTTTGGTTTGTTTTTTTCTTTGTTTGCACCTTGAGATGCTCAGGGCTTACTCCCCCACCCCCACCCCCAGGCTCAGGGGACCTTGTGGGGTGCAGGGGATCACAGCCTTCCCTGTAGACCCTCTCTCCAGCCCCAGCCTCAGGTCATTTGTTACCTCAGTCATCAGGTCATTTGTCTACTCAAAACTGCTGCCTCAGTGTGGGATTCGTATTATCCAACCATCTGACAACTCACTCTCTCAATCTTTTCTTTAACAACTATTCATCAATTTTCATTCACTAGATATTGAACATTTTTTTTGTCAAACTCTGACCTAGGTCCTAGACTAAAGAGCTCAGTAATCCATGTTTTAGGTGGAGAGGGATTAAAATTCAATGCTAAGGGCTGGAGTAATTAGTGAATAGGGAACTTCCCTTGCGGAGCTAACCTGGGTTTGACCCCTGGCATCCAGTATATAGTCAGGCCAGGAGTAAGTCCTGAGCATCTCTTGCTGTGAACCCACAACAACTGAAAACAAAATGTGAAAATGGTAGCGCTCTCAGTACAATCAATCTTCAATGAAGTAGGGCAGGAATTTTACTGACTTTCTAACCTGATTTTTTTTTTTGTTCCTTTGAGGACAAATGGCACATTTTAGTATTTTCCGTGTTTCATTTAAATACCTGATTTCTCCAAATACTGCCCCAGCTTTCAGCGTCACCAGAACTTGGGTACCATCAGAGCCTCCGAGCACTTGAACTTCTCCTTGTTTGATGATGTACATTTCCTTGCCAATTTCTCCCTGCACATCAAAGGTGAGGAATAAATTACATTTCCTTTATTCTTCACAAGAATCCCCCAATGAAGAAATTTGAAGGTCTTTTCTTTTTTGTTCATATAAATCAAGGAAGCAAGGTGCATACACAGTAAAGTAATTAATCAAGGCAGGAGTGATAGTACAATGGGTAGGTCACTTGCCTTGCGTGCAGCTCACCGGGATTTCCTCCCCAGCACCCCAAGCCCACCAGGATTGATTCCTGGAGTGAACCCCGAGCACCTTCAGGCGTGGCCCCAAAGCAAAACTCAAAAAGAAAAAAAGCAATTTATCATAAGACTTGAGGTAGTTATAGACCTTGGTTGGATATGTCATGTGAAAGGAAATTACTAGAAAAGTGATTCTGCTGCCTATATTAGCTCTGGATGCTGCCACTGGATGCGAGAAGGCTGTTATAGGTTGATGTGGGCAGAGGAAATAACTGTCAGCGTGGTTACTGCAGCTCTGGGGACAACTGGTATGCTTTGAAGACAGCTTTTACCGAGAGAGCGTGAACTACAGCCATGGGTCTTCTACCTAGACCACTGAGGTCTAGTTTAGCAATTTGGGGCAACTTGAAGCTATTCTCTTTACTCCTATTGAGATGAAAGTGGGAGTGCAGCAGGTGTTTCGTTTTCCCTCAGTTCTTGCTTGTATGTGGGAACTCTTGGAGTGAAGGTAATCATCCTCGTTCCAGTCCCGAGAAAATAGTCCACATGTTCACTAGTCGCTGGGTAATGGAGCTATTTTTGCTGGAGGCAGCGTGGCAGGCTGTATCTGTTAGTCAGCACTGTTTAAAATAAGAAAACAATTTCGGAGGCATGCTTTTTATCTAGTTCGGACTTGGATCCATAGCTGGGTAGCGAGTAATGGCCAGGGAATTTAAAGAACTCTGAGCCCAAGACTTTCGGACATAGAGTGTTTTCCCTTTTGTCTCCAAGGTCCAGAGCTAGAGAGAACAATGTATTCATGTGACACTCTCAAAAGTGAATTCTTTAGTCTTTGCCTATGTATGTTTCTTGCAATTTCCGCGTTGTTTGCTTTTCTACAGTGAATTTTAAGCCATAAATGAATCCTTATGTTGATTCATACACATCACCAATGTAAATGGGGTGATTGGGGACCCCAGGAACATAGCTTGTCATTCCAAGGAAGAAGAAACAAATGTTTTTTAAGAGTCCTAAAATGGTATTTGGGTTATGAAAATCTGTTCAAGCCTAAATAAGACCACACAATCCTAGGAAACTCAAAACTGCCCATATGGAGCTGGAGTAATAGCACAGCGGGTAGGGCATTTGCCTTACACATGGCCTACCCAGGTTCGATTCCTAGCATCCCATATGGTCCCCAGAGCACCACCAGGAGTGATTCCTGAGTGTATGAACCAGGAGTAACTCCTGTGCATTGCTGGGTGTGACCCAAAAAAGCCAAAAAAATAAACCTACCCATATGTTTCAGTGAATTATTGAACTATGAAAACATAGCATAAATGCAATAAATTCACTAACTTGGTTTACAGCAAGATAAGGGCATTTTGAATTAATCAGATATTGTCATTCCTATTTTAAAAAGAATATAATATTAATTTGGGATTAAGCAACATTGATTATTGTTCATGCTCTGTGATGGCTGAGAAAACTGTCTACTTTGTTCTTGTGCTCAGCTTATGTCTTATGAGATAGGCATTTATTCATGAGCAAATGAAATAGAGTTTAACTATTGTCTTGAAAATTTTTAAGTCTTTGAATTACAGAGATTATTTATGAGCATTAATAGTTGTTAGGCTGACTTTAAGTCATTCTACTCCATCTTTTAATTATTATTTAGGACTAAATTTTTAAATTTTATCTCCCATTTTCTTTATGAAGAAGATAGAGTAAGAACTATTATTTTCATTTTAGAGAAATGAAATTAAGGTAACAATGGTCTTAGCTAATTAGCGAAAGCATTGACAGAATTAGAAGCAAAAGAAACCTATAATCCTCATCATCTCTCTCTCTCTCTCTCTCTCTCTCTTTCTTTCTGTACTGCGGATTGAACCCAGGTCCTCACATGTGCAAGGCAAATACTCTACCACCAAGTCACATCTCTGAATCTACATTGTCTCTTCTTAGGGCTGCATAGTATTCCATTGTGTACGTTATATATATACGATAGCTTCTTGATCCTTTCATTCTTTATTTTTCTTTGTAAGTCAGATAATTTTTATTTGGGGAAGAAAAATTAGTTAAGATAGTTATCTTATCATTCTTTATTTTTTAAATTTATTTTTAAAATTTTTATTAGTGAAACACCATGAGGTACAGTTGTAGACTTACAAATTTTTGTGCTTGGGTTTTAGTTATACAATGTTGATCCTTTCATTCTTAGTGTGGCATTTGAGTTGTTTCTATATCTTTAATATTATACTAGGTGGTATGATAAACATAGGAGGATTTAAAAATATTTGGAAAGTGTTTTAAATTTTATATTTGAATATTTAAAGAAATCATAAATTTGCTCGATCGGGTCCAGTAACGTCTCCATTGGAGACTTTGTTGTTACTGTGTTTGGCATATAGAATATGTCAGGGGGAGCTTGCCAGGCTCTGCCATGTGGGTGAGATCCTCTCGGTAGCTTGCCAGGCTCTCTGAGAGGGGCGGAGGAATCGAACTCGGGTCGGCCATGTTGGCTGCGTGCAAGGCAAACGCCCTACCACTGTGCTATCACTCCAGCCCAAAGAAATCATAATATCTGATCTTTGCATTGTTCTTTAATTGTTCTTTATGTTGCTCCTTATTATAAAATCATGTTCTATCAGATGTGCTACTTTATAAAGTACCTATATTTTTATATATTAGATCCTTTAATTCTTGAAAAAAATTCAGTGAAATTAAACAGAACAGGTTGCTGTTAGTTTTTAAATTGATTTTCTATTAAGGCACTATAATTTACAAAGTTATTCATTGTTGAATTTCAGACATACAATGTTGCAGACATACAACTCTCCTATCTTTGTCAATCTCCTTCAATAAATATCCCCAGGTTCCCTACTACCCCGGAGCCTGTCTCCTTTGACAGGCACATAACGTTTGGTTGTTATAGTTTGGATCTTATGCTTTCAGTGTTGCTGGTCTTATATATATATATATATATATATATATATATATATATATATATATATATATACCACAGGCCTTTTTCCCTGGTCCCTGTTACTTCTTATCTGCCTTTTATTTTCCCCTTGATTTCTCTCTGCTCATGTCCTTCTCATTTCTGTAATCTGGAATTCCTTATAATCTGAGTATTTCCTCCATTTCCTTACATTCCCTCATCTTGTTGATATATATATATGTATCTATCTATTTATAGATAGATAGATAGATAGATAGATATCTCTAAGTGGGCTGTAGTGATAGCACAGCGGGTAGGGCGTTTGCCTTGCATGCAGCCGACCCTACCAACCCAGGGTCGATTCCTCTGCCCCTCTCGGAGAACCCAGCAAGCTACTGAGAGTATCTAGCCCGCATGGCAAAGCCTGACAAGCCACCCGTGATGTATTCGATATGCCAAACACAGTAACAATTGTCACAGTGGAGATGTTACTGGGCCCACTCAAGTGAGCAAATTGATGAACAACAGGAGGACAGTGACAGTGAGATCTAAGTGAGATCTGTTGTTTATTTTTATTCTTCTGGCTTCAATTAACATGATATTCTCCAGTTCCATCCAACTTGCTACAAATTGCATGATTTCATCATTCTTTGTAGTTGCATAATATTCCATTGTGTGATTGTGTCTGTGTGTATACTTTATATTGTACACATAAACACAGAACTATATATATATTCTTTATAGGTAACACTTTAGTCCTCTGCCATTAGACACCCATGTTGATTCTGCAGCCTAGTTATTGTGCGACATACTGCAAAGAATAATGGTGTGCTTATGTGCTTTTGAGTAAATGGTTTTGTGACTGGAGGGTAGACAGGCATGGTTCTTAAAACTGGGAGCAGAGACCGGAGAGCTAGCTCAAAGGCTAGTGTGCATGATTTGCTCGCAGAAGGCTTGAGAACTGATCTCTGGCAGCCCATGATCTCCCCAGAGTTGTAGGGAAGTTGCTCGCAGTGACATACCAGTGTTAGGTCCCTGAATGCCACTTGGTTCGACCCCCATTCTTGCAAGAAACTCCCCCCAAATGAGTATAAACAGTTATTAAAAAGATGAAAAATATGGGGCCATAAATATAGTCCAGGGGTTACACTTGTCTTGCATGGGGCTAACCTCAGTTCAATCTCCAACATCACATACTTGAGTACTTGAGTACTTCAGTATTGACCCCTGACCATTGAGCCATGAGTAGCCTCTAAGTATTTTCTAGGAATGGCCTCAAAACCTCACAAAAATAAATTTAAAAAATACGAAATCTATTTTTTTGCTACAACATGAATAAAACTTGAGGTGATTATAGTATGCAAAATAAGTCAGCATGAAGGACTTTTATGTATGGTTTCTTTATATGTTGACTATAAATAAAGCAAATAAGCTAATAAAACACAACAAAATGATTGTCTTGGGGGAAAATCTGGTAGCTACCAAAGGGGAAGAGAAGAAGGATGTGAGGAATAGGAAGACTTGGGAAGCTGGGTAGTGTGAGAGGCACTTATCCTTTGGTAATGGGACATTCACATGAGGTGGGCTACTGGACTATTGAAAGTTATTTAATATCATAAACCAATGGTGGTAAGTCACTGACTTGATATGTTAAATAGAAATTCTATTTATTGAAAATAATCTGTCTGAAGTTCTTCTGGGAAAATTAGAATGCGTGTTATGTTTACAAAAACCACAGTGTGAAGTTAAAACATTGGTAGAAGTCTGAATGGTCCAGTGTCTTGAGCAAATTTGAAAAATTGGCAGATAAAGGAGTATTAGCATTAACCACACCTATGCCTTTTCACTGTGGAATCAGTCATATTTCTAGTAACATATAATTACATATGACAAAT